ATTTCCCAGCTCCACCCTCCAGCAGGATACCACTTCACTTCTACCAAATGCCTTCAGAATTAATGTCCCATTGTCCGACCCATGACTTGACAGCTTGTCAGAGAGATTTTTTTTCCCTGTGTCCAGTGTCTCTTAAGTTTACTTGTACTGTCTCCGAAGGGAAGGTGATGTGTCCTGTAGAACTGTATAGATTGTGTTTTCCTTCTTGGGGCCCTCGTGCCCAACCGGTTTAGGCTCCACCTTGGGGCTTATTACCTGGAGGCGTGTCAGAAGCTATTGTGGGAGTCCTCTGTGTTGCCTGCTCTTGGCTTGGGCCTGCACTGCTTCTGGCTCCTGCTTCTGCCACGGCGGTGGCTCTCTTCTAAACCTAGCTTGCATTTCTTGGAGTTCTCTGTCAATGTAAGGTTCTGGTTTTGTATTATCTTCAACAATATTTTGCCTGTATGTGATATTAATGATATTGTTTGATAATTTCCACATTTTGTTGGATCACCTTTCTTGGGAATGGGAACAGATATGGATCTCTTCCATTCAGTTGGCCAGATAGTTGTCTTCTAAATTTAACCCCTAAATGCTTTTCTAGATAACTTCTGAATTGTATTAACACACACCAGAGTCCTTGGTGGTGCAAACAATTAATGTGCTTGGCTACTAACAGAAAAGTTGTAGGTTCAAATCTATTTGGAGGCACCTTGAAAGAATTATTAACTTCTAAAAATTGATCTTGTTGTTGTTGTTTGTTGTTATGCGCCGTCAAGTTGCTTGAGACTCATAGCGACCCTATGTACAACAGCCCTAAACTCTGCTCTGTCCCATGCCAATCGCATTCTCTGATACACCCATCTCAACTACCCCAGTCACTGAATGAATCCACCTCATAGAGGAACTTCCCCTCCTGCACCATCCCTCCACCCTCCCAAGTATAATGCCCCTCCCAAAGGACTGTCCCTCCTTACATGTCCAAAGTATGTCAGACGAAGCCTCAGGATTCTTGCCTCCAAGGAGCAGACAGGTTTAACCCTCTCCAGAATGACTCTGTTTGTTTTCTTAGCAGTCCGTGGTACCCTCAATATTCCTCTCCAGCACCACAGCTCAAAGGCATCAGTTCTCCTTCTGTCCTCCCTAGTCATTGTCCAACTCTCTGACTCATTACAAGTAATTTCAAAGACCATGGCCTGTATCAGATGCACCTTAGTCTCCAGAGTGACACCATTGCTCTTCAGTACTTTGGAGAGGTCCCTAACAACAGACTTTTCCATTGCAATACGTCTTTTAATTTCCTGGCTGCTGGTGCTGAGAGTGTTGACTGTGGAGCCAAGCAAACTAAAGCTGTGAGCAATCTCAATTTTTTTGCCATCCATCCTGATGCTGCCAATTGGTCCACTGGTGAGAATCTTTGTCTTCTTGATATTGAGCCTCAGTCCATATTGGAGGCTGCAGTTCTTGACCCCTTGCAGCAACTGCTTCAGGTCTTCCTCAGTTTCCGCAAGCAGGGTTGTGTCATCTGCATATCACAGATTGTTGATAGATCTTCCACGAATCCTGATGCCACATTTCTCCTCATAGCGCCCAGTCTCCAAGATAATCTGCTCTGCATACAGGTTGAATAGGTATGGAGACAGGACACATCCCTGCTGTACACCCTTCCCAATTTAGAACTATGCAGTATTTCCTTGCTCTGTTCTGATGACTGCCTCTTGGTCCAAGTATAGGTTTGGGATTTGCACGATCAAGTGTTCTGGGATTCCCATTCTTCTCAGAGTCAGCCACAGTTTGTTATGATCCACACAGTCAAATGCCTTTTCATAATCAATGAATCACAGATAGACATTCCTCTGGTATTCCCTGCTTTCAGCTAAGATCTATCTAACATTAACTACAATATCCCTAGTACCATGATCCCTTCTAAACCCAATCTGGACTTAGAAAAATCAGCTATTGAAAATGCTGTGAACTTAAACTTTTGGTCAATATGGCACATTAGATACATTCACTGTAATAATATTTTTTCATTTAAAACTCATTTATAAAATAGTTTCATCTACATTGTATTTTATTCATGTATATTGTGGTTCCCCCTTCCCTGTCAATCATCTTACTACAACTTCCTTTGTAAAAGTGTTTAAGCAGCTACTTTATGAATCATGTCTCTTTTAGATATCCAATTTCTAACTCGACAACAGCTTCATCTTGCTTGGATCCACAATTAACACTCTTGGTACCAGCAGTCAATAGATATGGAGACACATTGCACTTGGAAAATCAGTAGATAGGGACCTCTCCATATTATCGAGGAGTAATGATGTCAGTTTGAGGACTAAGGTGTGTCTGATTCAGGCCAGGGTCTTTCCAATTGTTTACTATGAATCTGACAGCTGGACAATCAATAAGGGTGACAGAAAAAGAACTGACACCTTGAAGCTTTGGTATTGGAGAAGAGCACTGAACATCCCATCGGTGGCCAAGAGAACAAACAAATATGTCTTGGAGAGGGTGCAGCCAGAGTGTTCTTTGGAGGCAAGAATGATGAGTCTTCACCTCACATACTTTGGGCTTGTTGCTAGGAGGGATTATTCCTTGGAGAAGGCCATGATGCCGGGAAGGGTGGAGGGTCAGCAAAGGAAAAGTAGACCGTCAACTAGGTAGATTGACATGATGACTGATGGGCTCTTGTGTGTCAAGAAGTGTGAGGATGGCACAGGATAGAAGAGGGTTCAAATCTTTTATTTATAGGGTCACTAGGAGTGATCACTATGAGTTAGCATACTCTAATCTCAAGGGTTGGAAGTGAACTCTGATGGGCACCAAGTTTGTCCTGTCTCAGAAGCCAAATGGCTTGTCCCAGTTTTGAAAAGTCATTATCTTCTTTCCTTTATTCTTCATCATTCTCTCCTTGCCCTCTCTTCAATCAAAGTTCCAATGTGGGTCCATCAAGCCATTCAAATGTAAATCTCAGAGTACTGAGTGAGACTCAATCTTAACCCTCAACCAAGCCCTAACAGACTCTACTGGGTTCTACTTTAAACAAGCTTGTCTCCTGGGCAAATCTTCCCTTTTAGTACTTCAAATTCCATAATGACCAAAGGTGAAATTACACACGTTCTAATTGTTTTCCATGCCCTTCTACTTTCTTCCCCCTATAACTACCGTTATGCACTGTGCTTTATCCATGCACACTGTGCCCCACACCTTCCCTCATACACACTATATTCATACAATTAACTACCACTAACTCATGTTTGTTATCACACTATTCCCCTAAGAAATCACTGAACCTCCCCTGACTGTGTCACCTCCCCGCTCATCAACCTCCACCATCCCAGTGATCATCTCTCCTTCCCCCTTATTCCTCCCTTCACTCTAGCCTACTTTATTATTTTCATATGATAGTTATTGACCTTATTTTTAATTTGCATACATTGTGTTCCACACAACCCCCAATATATGCTGTATTTATTACAATCATTCATATGTTGTTGTTGTTGTTGTTATGTGCCATCGAGT